CGAGGCATGAAAACTGTCAGACCGACTTAATAATCTATTAGCACAGTTAGTTAGTTAGTTAGTTGCTTTAAGGGGCCGTCCAATTTTAAGCCAAGCGACTAATTTTAGCCTTGCCTTGCCCGGAGCTCTTTGCAAATATTGGCTGTGCCCATAGATAAGAGCTCAAAGCTCAGACACTTAACGCGTAGCATTAATAAACAATCAGGCAAAAACTTAAACTTGCAGCATTATGACGTCTCCAGCAGTTAGTTGGTGGTGCTTGTAGTTAGTATCTAATCTTATCTAATCGCTTGTCCAAAATCAGTTTCATGCACTCGTCGACTCGCCTTTTGTCAGTAGAAACTTGTCTGGCCTGGCCTAAAGCAGCCGCAGAATCCGCAAAAAAGTATTGCTTGAAGTGACATTAACAATTTCATAGATCCTTCCAGGCATGGTGCTCATCCTGTTTGGCACGGAGCTGAGTCCTCCGGTGCGCGCTGTGCTCTTGACGCTGCGCGCTCTGGAGCTGGAGCACGAGTTCCGGCAGCTGGATTTGCTGGCTGGCGAGCATCTGGAGGCGGATTTTGTGCGCAAGAATCCGCAGCATACGGTGCCACTGCTGGAGGATGGCGAGGCATACATTTGGGACTCGCATGCCATAATTGGCTATCTGGTGCAGAAATATGCCAAGAATGATGCACTGTATCCGCGCGAGCCGCTGCCACGCGCCATTTGCGATCAGCGTCTGCATTTCGAGTCGGGCGTTCTGTTTCCCAGCTTCAAGGAGCTGCAGCGCCTGCTCTTCCAGGAGCACGCCACGGAGCTGCCCAAGCAGCGCATTGCCCAGCTGCACGAGTCGTATGCGCTGCTCGAGCAGTTTCTGGCCCGGCACGACTATCTGGCCGGCGAGCAGCTGACCATTGCCGACTTCAGCATTGTCGCCACGCTGAGCACTCTGGATCTGTGCTATGCGCCGCTGGATCCCCACAAGTATCCCAAGTTGAGCGCCTGGCTGGCACGAATCTCGGCTCTGCCCTACTATGAGCAGGCCAATCTGCAAGGAGCGCGTCGCCTTGCCGACCTGGTGCGCGCCAAGCTGCCCAAACAGTTTGACAAGCTCTGGCAAAAGGCTTTCGAGGACATCAAGAGCGGCGCGGGCAAGCAGTAAAGTAATCACAGCCTATAATGAACCCATTTTATTTGTATTTAAACAAATGTAAAATGTCTTGAATAAAGTCTATGCTTGTATCGACTTTTAAATATCTATGCCAGCAAATAAAACTTAAATTAATAAAAAATTGATTGTTTCAAATGAAGCACTCAGAGAAAATGGGCGTTAAACCATGCCCTTTTGTGTCTACAATTTGTGCTTTTAGCTTAGGCATTTGCTTAAATTAAGCATGAATTTTCTTAAATTTAGTATAAATCGAGGTAAAATTCATTGAATGCAAGATTTTGCCTGCGTAAACTAAGCTCAAGCCCTTTTGTGTCGACAATTTGTGCATTTCTTTTAGGCATTTGCTTAAATTAAGCATGAATTTTCTTAAATGAAGTATGAAGCAAGCTAAAAATTCATTAAATTACGCTCAACATTTACTTTACATTTGCTTAAATTAAGTACGAATTTTCTTAATTGAAGTATGTATCAAGCTGAAAGTTCATTGAATGCAAGATTTTGCCTGCTTAAATTAAGTTTTTGTACAATTTCTATAAATATTTTGTAGTTGAAGGAAAAATACATAAATTAAGACTTTTATGCTTTGTTTAAGAAATTTCAAGATAAGCAGCTTTTTTTGGGCACCTTTGTACTTGACTTAAATAAAAACTTGAAAAACGAGACTTTTTCTTCAATATATTTGAAATTTGATCAAAAACAAAATTTGTCCAATCGAACTGCGGCAACTCCTTGCTGCTTGTTATTGTGCTGGGTATAATTATGTTTTGAAAAAAAAAAAAACAGCTTTACAACTTTTTGCGCTCATTAAAATTGAGAGAAAAAAACACACACACACAAATGAAAAGCGCAAAGTTGTGCCGCGTCGCGTCGCGTTGTGTCGCGTCGCGCATGCCAAAGTTGTTAAATCATAATTAATTTATGACGCCGCCAGCTTTAGCCGGAGTACCTGCCTGGCCAGGTGCGTTTACAGGTAGAGGCACGTCGTGTAAAACACTCGCTGCGAGTGGCAGGAGGTGCCTGCCCAAATGCCCGACTGAGCCGGCAGCCCGCTCGACCCACTCAGCCAGCCACGCCCACAGCTGTCGCCCTTCTTTATTTTTTTGCGCCTCATTGCAGAGACGAGAGCAGGGGGCCGGGGATTCGGGTGTGCAGGCAAACTAATTGGTTTAATTTCAACTTTTACTTTGGACGTCTCGCCCGCGGCCACGCCCACTGCGAGTCCAGGCTTATGCATCGCCAGATTCGTTAGCTTTAATGCGACTTTTTTGCAATTTACCTTTACAGGTATTTTTTTTTGTTGTTGTTTGTTGCCCGTTTACTTACTGTCCCCCCCCCCCCCCCCGCCCCCACGGCACTTTGTTGGAATTTTCCTTGCTCGACTTTTTTCGCTCGGCTGGGTGTATCAATTTATTGTAGCGTACTTTTAGGCGTCCTTTGAAATTTTGCACTCTGTTAACAGGGTCTGGGTTTGGGTTTTCTTTGCTTTTATTTTCACTCGATTTTCCGTTGTGTCCATGAAAAGCGGCTTAAATGTGGTAGCTGCACTGGAAACTGCAAGCACTATGCAAACATCAGAGAAGCGTTATATAGCAAAAGGCTCTTAGCCCGGTTGGCATAACATTTATATATGCAGTAGCTGGCATAGAAGGCGATTTAGAAAAATACTATGCAAATTCAGGGAAGGGAATGTCGCCAACTGCGTGCTTTAGGCAGCTGCTTCTTTCCTCAGCGTAAAAAATGCAGTTTTATATAGCTTCGGTCTTTAGGGTCCGACAATTATGAAATAATATAACTAAATGTACTACTCTAGTATACTACTCAGGCACATTTAGTAAAAGATAGTATATACACACAGCTTGAGCCCTGAAATTTGCATAAAGATCGGACTATAAGGACCGAAGCTATACATCTACCCTATGCTAAAGAATTAGTACTACTATTCTATCTGCTTAAAAAATTTGCTGTATTTAGCTTTTACAATCTTCGAGTTATGCTTAAAAAAAAACATGTTTAAAAATCGATATTTATCGATATTATGAAACTGAAACCAAATATCGAAACAACATAATTGACTTGTCTTGCGTAGGCAATAGGAGTATATAAATTTACTTTCGAGCTTTTGTAGTTACATAGAAACGATCCCTTGTCATCCTCATCAGGAATATATGAACCTAACGGCATGAGAGAAGCTGCCTGCTGTTCATAACAATATCAATATTTATTCATTTCTTTTCGTCTAATCCTTTACTTTTTCCAGCACTCACAATTTATATTTGATGCTACGCAAAATTGGATACTTTTCGCCCGCGCACTGACCACGAAAATCATCTAGTGACAGATCATGGAAGGCAACACCGCCCAAGCCCTGGGCCTGCACAAAGCCGGCCTTAATGGCCGCCGTTGTGGGATCCTCGTAGCCTACCCAGAGGCCGTTCTCGCCGTTCTCGCCTGCCGCACGATAGGCATAGATGCCATAACGTTTCGTTGGATCGCCCACCTTGCGCAGATGCTGGTTGTCCGTGTCCTTGCCCTGGCCCAGATGATGCTGCAACAGATCGCAGATCTCGGGCCAGCTAAGCAAACCGGGCTGGCCCGTCTGCTTGCCAGCCGGGGCGGCGCCCTCCGTGGCCGTTATGGGTGGGAAGCCGGTGATGCCGGAGTTGGGGCTCATTTGCCAGGCGCGTCCATAGCTGGTGATGCCGATGTTCAGCTGCTGTGCGTTGGCCGTGTGATTGAGCCAATACTGCAGCTGATGCTGCACATTGTGTGTGGCATCCCGATCGTACATGGCGTACAGAGGGGCGGGCAGATCCGCCTGCTTGGGATCACGTTGCGGCGTCTGGAAGTCATAGGTGCCCAAATTGACAAAGTCCACAAAGGCGAGCACGGCGGGTATGTCTATGAAAACTGCAGAGCAAATATTGATATTGAGACTGAGTTTGGTGGTGGGGCAAGCGATGCTCACGTTCTGGATCCACATGTGGCAGCATGCTGAGGGTCAGTTGTTTGCCATTGCGTTGCAGCTCCACGCGCAGCTCCCGCACGAATGTGGCGAACTGTTCCTTGTGCTCCTCGGCCTTGGGATCGATGGAGGAGCTGCTGAACCAGCCCTTGAATGAGCTCCAGGCGCGCTTCAGTGCGCCCTGCTGCTGCTTGGGCTTGAGCTGGGGAAACTGCCAGGCCAGATCCAGGCCATCGAAGCCATATTTGTTCAGCTCGGCGCTGGCACTGGCCTTAAAGCTGTTCCTGTTCTCCGGCAGCTCCAGCAGACTCAGATATTTGCTGCTGTCCGGCAGGCCCTCGGCATTCAGATCCCGCTCACCGCCCACGGAGAGCAGAATGCGCAAATGCGGATGCTTTTGACGGAGCGCCGTAATGTGCGCATAGTGCTGGCGATTGTAGCTGAGCTCCGGATTTAAGCTCTTGATCTTAAAGCTTTCTGGATCGATGCCCGCATAACCATAAATCAGGTAGTTGCAGAAGTTTAAGGCGGGCTCCAGTTCATTCAGCGAAAGTTGCGCGGGGCCTGCTCCAGCACGAAAACAAAAACAGAAACAAATGTCAGAATAGCAGAAACTCAACGTATGTGCATATGCTAAGAGATAACCCCACGCTGACCCCCACCGACTGACACACACAGATTAGACGCAGCTTTTGCTCACCCTCGCGCACAAAACTCGACGCATCGTAGTAGCAAACGAGCTTGGCCACGTCTGCCAGGCTGACAGGACAGCGGCACAGGCAGAGCAGCGCTCCCAGGAATATCCAACCGTGGGGCAACATGTGTGCGTTTGTTTGCTTTGAGTTGGTTTTGAAGACTGACGCAGAGACCGAAGCTGAAGCTGGACGAGCTGATAGCGACGCACAGCAGGCATACAAAAGCTAAGACAAAGCATGAAACTAATTCACAAACAACTGAGCGATAAGGTGGGTGAATTGCACATTAATGATATCCGACTAGCACATACTCAGCATATGCTTATTTTAAGTACCTTTTTTAACGAGTGTGTAAACTTTTCGTGAGCATCTTTGAAAATTAGTCAGAAGCATGTCAGTCAGTCCCACAGTCTATCAGTCAGTCAATCAGCCAGTTGTCAGTCAATCAGATATCACTCAGTCAGTCATTTAGTCAGTGGATAATCAATCAGCATCAGTAATTCAGACAATACATCAGTAATTTAGTCAATCAGTTGGTTAGTCAGTCATAGGTCAATCAGACAGTTGATATACAATCAATCAGCCAGTCAGTCAATTAACTAATGAGTCAGTCAGTAGTAAGAAAGTTGCTCTGTCATCATTCAGTCAATCAGTTAGTCAGTCTGTCAGTCAATCAGATAGAAGTCACTCAGTCAGTTGGGCAATCAATTAGACAATCAATCAGTCATCAGTCAGTTTGACAGTCAGTCAGTCAGCTTGTCAGTCACATTGTCCATCAGTTATTCAGGTACTTATTCAATACATCACTAATTTAGCAATTTAGTCATTAGTTAATCAATCAGTAGTTCAGTCTTTCAGATAATCAGTCTATCATTCAGTAGGTCAGCTAGTCACTCATCAGCCATTCAGTCAGCCATTCCGTCAATCACTCAGTCAATCAATAAGTCCTTTAATCAATCTTTTATCAGTCATTCAATCAGTCAGTCAGGCATTCAGTCTCATTTACCCAAGATAAAGGGTATTTGTAATAATTATTTTATTATTATTTGACTTGTACAAAATTTGTTCTTTTACTTGTTGGAGTATCTCATCTATAATAAATATTCCAGCTAGTGACAAACGTGAAGGATTACAGCCAAAAGGATGCTTGTCCAAAGTTTTGACAAGCTGTAAGTCTCGAAATTCAATTAACTCACGAAAACTTTTCACTCAGCCGCAATTTCTTTTCCCAGACGCTGCTCGGCAACATGACCGATTAACAGCATTTCAATTACAATGTGTGATTAAGACATCAAGGCTTTACTTGTCCCAGCTGCTCCAATGGCTTCCATATATATGTATGTATCTATGGCTAATGTCAGCCAAACCACCAAAACGCAAATCCCCAAAACTCGAAGCGGCAGACAGGCGCCGGGAGGCCTGAAATGGATTTCAGTGGGTTATGGCTTGGGTTTTGTGGTTCAGCTTGAAGTAGGCACCGATTGCAGAGCCCGCACACACACGGTCATATATATATGTATATGTATACGTAGAGCTGTCATTAGTTGCTGTCACTTTGCTGGCGGCACACTCTGGCCTCTCAGTCTCTGGCCTCTCCGTCTCTGGCCTCTCCGTCTCTGGCCTCTCCGTCTCTGGCCTCTCCGTCTCTGGCTCATGTCACTTTGCTGCTGTCACACCTACACGCCCCCATTACCAACGCCCACCCCGCCCCGCTTGTGGTAGCTCGCACAATTCCCGGCTGACAATAATGTTTTTGTGCCCAGCTTAAATACATTAAAGCCTTCGCTGTCTGACATACAACATGGCAAATGATGAGCAAACCCCCGACCACCGCAACAGTCACCCTCACACACACACACACACACACATACACACACACACACAGAGAGGGAGCTAGAACTGCTTGGCAGGCACTTCAAGCGGGATGAGGGTCCTTCAGAGGCTTTTACATTTGCCCGAAACGCTTTGCCCAGTTGATTAGCAATTTTGCTCACGTGGTGCTATTTGTTGGCTTCAAGGGTGGGCTGTGCGGGGAATGTATGGTAGGGAGGGGGCTGGGGGTGCAGAAAGTGTTGACTGCTATGTTTGCGCATTGCTTTGGCCGCTCTTTGCAAAATTTATTTGTGCGGCAAAAATTTACATCTTTTATATAAACTTATTCAGTAGAAACTTAGCACGACTTTTCGCAAATTTTCTTCAGCCATTTTGGCATTTGTCCGGCTGCCCGCCGCTTGTAGCTAGCTCTCGAGTGTTTTTAAAGCAAATCCTTTGCGTAATTACTTTGCACAGTCACACAAATCCCACGCCCAGCCACGACCGCCTGCCCTTAATAGATTTGTCCCCGGGGCTCAGGCTGAAGCCAAGCGCAAAGGCATTTAAATTCCGACAGCAGTCGTATTTGTGTTTTACAATGTTTTTATTTAACTGCTGACTGTTTAAATATTATATGTTTGGTCTTTTTGGATTTTACGGCCAAGTTTGTACACACACTCGCTTAGACAACACGCATACGCCGTGTGTATTTATTGTGTTGCGCCTAACAGATGCAACAAAAAATGTCCGCTTCCGTTTGGCAAAAAATCACATAAATTGTATGAAATGCCAGCACACAAAACTCTCTCACGGCAAAAGCTGGCAAAAACTAACCGCAAAAAAGGCAGCACACACAAACAACAACAACATCACAATTTACAACAAAAACAACAACAAGGCGTGGCAAATCAACAGAATATTTCAAATATGGCCATGCACAGGCGCCTAAGCAAAATGCACACATGTTCATGGACACGCCCCTGGTTACCGACACTCAACTATACACATATTATGTGCACACACCCCCACACACACACACACACACACACACACACACACACAGCCACACTCCACAGGTTGACAATAAAACGTTGGTCGTAATAATAAACTAATAGTGCCCCAGCTGCCAAGAAATGCTTGACTATCTTTGTCCTACTCAAACTACACTGCTGCGCACATAATATATATATATATAAATATGCATTTATGTACATAAATATACATACATGCATATAAACATAAAAATGCTATGTGTAGGCAGAGCTGTGCTCATGAAGAGTATATTTATGTAAGCGGGATATGTTTTACAGAGAGAAACAGGGGGTGAGAGAGATAGAGAGAGAGCAGGCAGGGAGAGGGAAAGATAGAATATGGCATAGTTGTGATGGCTGGAAATTCTCAGTTAATATATCAGAATTCATATTCTATGTTAATACGAGCTTAACAGATTATGTTAATAACAGAAAATCAAGTACATAACAAAATGCATATTTTATGGTAATGAGAGCTTAACAGCTTATATTAATAACAGAACAACAAATGTTAAGTTCAAGTGCCAAACACTTTACCATAGCTCTACTTACTATTTTTATAGAGCAATAGCAACATGTTAACTTAACAGTTTTATGTTATTTTTATTCTTTTGATAATCATTTTAAACTTAGCTCAGATTCCATATATGTCTTGCGATCTATGCAATGTGAGTCAAATATCGTAAGATAGAGTATTTAAACTTCGTTTACATGCTTGAACATGTGTGTATCTCTTTGTGTAACCGCATTTACCACTGACATGTTTGCACACACAGAGAGCAACTTTTTTAGTGTGCACAGTTCTGGCATATTTTCACACCAGCTTAAGCAAACAGGCCCAGGCATCGCACTAGCTTGCTCAGCTACAAATCTTACTACAACCCAGGCCCTTTCTCCACTCCTCGCCTTCTCCTCCCCCTCAAACTAAGTGCTGGCTAATGGGCTTTCCAGTTCCGAAGTCTTTAATACAGCTGACCTCGCCGTCGATTGGGTGATTAACTTTTTGGGCAATATGGGAAAAACATCTGCCCGCAAGCAGGCAGTCAGGTGGCGGAGCAGAGGGGGGGGGGGAGGGGTTTATTTGGCGTAATTAAATTGTTAACGCACACGTGTCGACTGTGCGCTGAGTTGGCTTTGCCGTATTTATGCATGTGCATGGGTTCATTTAAGCGTAATGCTTTTTACGTTGACAAATGTGGCAGCAGCAGCGGCAGCAGCAGCAGCAACATCCACGCTAATCCACCCATAATCCCAAACCCCAACTCCAACAACAGCCCATTCCCAGTCTCAGTCCCAGTCCCAGTCCTGATGCCAGTTCACTTTGCATGGCTTACGCCCTTGGCTGGTGTTTTTAATGCTTCATTGGCTTAATTGCCAACCAACAGCAGGCGCACATATAGATACGCACTCGCACACACACACACACACACGCAGACCGAGCATGTACGCAACTTTTACCCAGCGAAAATGAATTCAACCACAAACACGTTCATTTACCTTTTATAGATACAGATACACAACGCCCAACTCGATTCGGTTGAATGTTCGCCTTGCTAAGCATTTCCAACTTTAAAATTGTGTGCTTTAATACATTTTGTGGGCAAAAGTTTGCTTTTAATACCCCGTAAGATGAAAATACTGTGATTTTATAATGGGCATAGTTCCTCTTCTATCAAACTTATGCAACTCGAGAACTATAGGCTCTACAGACGTCAAATTTCGTATACAGACTGGCGTTGGCTTATTGAATCTTTTAAAAAATATAAACGCTTTCTATCATATACAATAACTGAGTTACAGTGCGAACTAGCTTGGGCGGACAGCGATCGTTGTGTAATATTCGCCCGGTCAAGAGGTTTAAAAGGGGTTCTCCCGCCTAATTGAGAGAGGAACGGGTACATTATAAGTGTGAGGAGTTTGAATAAATAAGGACAGCTTATACTCTACTCAGATTTAAAAAATCACACACCTTTTTCTTCAAAGGCCTTGTGCAGGATAGTTTTTAGCCTCCAATCCAGTTAGCTTGGCTTAGTTGTATCTATTCAATGTATTTATTCAATAAAAACATTTGAATTTCATTTGAATTTACGCTGCATTTGCATTTGACTAACTTATGCACTTATGTACTTGTGCATATATTTGTTTGTGCATCTGTCAGATGCATTTAGTCTAACTAACTGAGATTACGGACTGTGCCCCACTCAGCCAGCCGATCTCTATAGCTATCTGTGCACGGGATCAAGTGAGTTCAGCGCATTATATAAGTTCAGACTGAGTGAAATGTCTTGTGCATGAATGAATTGAATTTGCAATATATAATTGCCGAACGCGTGAATACCCTAACCAATAGAATATCTGTGGAACATATTTGGGAGCATTATTTGGTTAGTTTAAGCGAGACACAAGACAAGAAGGCTGCTGGTTCAAATCCCAACTGATTTTGGTATCTTAGACAGATTTACTTTGAATCTTATCTTAGATATTTATTATACTAAGAAAAACAAATAAAATACTTTGCTAGTCAAATTTGCACTTATCTACGCTTCTCACTCATGCCTCAATAAGGAAAAATGGTTTTATAGCAGTAAAGTCTGCGTTTTATTATATACGTTCATAAACATTTGCAGGAAATATAATTTTCTTTATATATAGAGACATAAGTTATGTCGAAACCAACGATCAAGGCAATTTGTTAACTGATTAGCTCAAAGTAGAACAAAGCCTTAGGCCAGCTGTAAGTCTCGTTTTTGCATAGGCGAAGCAAGTGCGCATTTGCCAACCATGTTTATCAATAAAAAATAAAAATAATAATAATAACAATATTATTACAGACAATACTATACGGTTATAGTGGTTGATTAGTCTATAAAAGCGGCCTGTAGACCTTCGCTCACGTTCAGTTTCAACAGGCAAGTCGCATTTGGAGCTTATTGCAAACATGAAGTGGTTATCGCTGGCTTTCGTTATGGCTCTGCTGGCACTGGCAAGCGGTATGTACTAGACAGGGACTGTTATTTCAGAGCATCCACTAATTAATGTATTCAAACATAAATCGATTTGCAGCCAATCCGCTGCAGCCGGGCCATGTGATCATCAATGGGGATTGCAAAGTGTGCAACGTGCGCGGCGATTAATGGATTATTGAGAGAACTTACATAAATACATAACCAGCTATTGTTTAATATATCTGTTTTTATTTTTAATAAAAAATAAATTAATGTTTTTATAAATATTTATATATATATATATATATTTGCAAATTACTTAGGCATTAACATAGTATTCAGTTGTTTGTTTGTGGCGAGATTTAAATCCTAGTTGAATTGCGTTTCAACAGCCCTCAGCCTCCGTGAACATTGCAGTTGACACAGTGTCCGTTGATGATCACATCGCCAGGCAACAAGGGCGAAGCTGTTTTGGGCAAATTGTTCTATAGTAGAGCAAACAGGGAACGGGCAAAACTTTTACTCACCACTGGCCAAGGCCAGGAGACCCAGCACGAACGCAATTGACAAACACCGCATTTTCAATTGAGTCTAAACGCAATCTCAGCCTCAAAGAAACTGAAGCCAATTCAATGAAATCTTCTGTTTATATAGCTCATTTGACAAGTGGGCTATTCCTGGAAGCGTATAATATAGGCGACAATAGGTCGATTAAAAGATTGTCTGGGAAAACCCGCGCAATTGAGTATTTCCAAATGATAAGCGACTCGTGCGACATTGATACAGTGCATAAAATTGGGTTTAATGTGTATTAATACAATTCAGCGAAGTCTATGCTAATTTTGAGAGCTAATTGACGCGTTTTGCACGGTTAGTTAAGGTGTAAATACAGTAAACAGGTAAGACTGCTCGATTAGCAGATACCCTGAACCCAGTTGACGTTACAAATATTTCAGCAACGGCATTGCCCGCTCTTCCCCTCGTCTCATACTAGCATAACTGGCTTCCCTACCGACCGATCTTTATGAAACTTTCGGGCATCAAGTATAACATCCAAAACTTCGTGTATACTAAAGCCCAAGGCTTCCCCTTAACAAATTCGTATGCTAGCTCTCATAAGCTTCTACTTGTAAGCATGAAAACAAATATAAAAAAAACTATATTTATCGATAAATGAAAAACGGGCTGAGTTATCAAAGATATGTGCATACATAAGGATATATTTGCTCCCAATATCTCTGAGTTTAAATCGTTTTGAAGACAGCAAGAATAAAATGTATATTTTCTAGAAGAGCCTCCTTCTGCCTATACCCCACTTATAAGCATAAACAGTATACCCCTTTTCTATAACCATTCTCAATGAGTACAGACTCTTTAACATATTTTAGAAAACATTTAAATCTACGTCATTTATAAAGAACATGTGTATTGTTGGAATTAAAAAAGCTTAAGTAGGTAATTCCAAGTGGAAAACAGTGGACGAGAGAGGAAGAGAGAGCGGGTGAGAAAGAGAGATGGGAAGTAAAGTGTGCTTATAAGGCTACGATATATATTACCAATCAAGTCGTTAGCCTTTACCTTTGAGAACTTTGAAACTCTTTTAACAATTTGTTTGATATAAAACTAAAATATTAAATACTTCAAACAAATTTCCATACACAGTACAGAAAAAAGTTGAAGAAAAGAGTTCAGCAATTGTTAAATTTTGGATAAAAACGAAACTTATTCAATCGGAGTTTTTGTCTCGACACTTTTCCAAACTCTGACTTAGTTTGCTTTAATATATGCTATCCGCTTTGGGTTTTAACAATATACTAAACACCCTAGTCATTCGTTTATGCTAGTTACAACCACTCGTATGGCTCTCTCAGATCAAGTTCAATAATGTTCACAGTTTGTAGAGAGCGACTGGTTGGGTAGACTATAAAAGCGCAGTGCAGAACGTGGTTTACAATCAGTTCGAATTGAATAACATCATGAAGTGGCTATCTCTAGTTTTCGCCTTAGCCGTATTGGCTCTAGCCAGTGGTAAGTAGGACGAGCTGTGGTGTGCCTGAGAGCTGTCAGTCTAAACGAATATGCATTCCATGTACAGCAAACCCTTTGCAACCGGATGTGGTCATCAATGGGGATTGCAAGAAGTGCAACGTGCACGGCGGCTAAAAACACTCAAATATTATAATAAATAAATCGAAATAAACAAATGAATGCACTGTATATATCATGTCTAATTATTACTTATTGGAATAAATGATTAGCAACTCCAATATTTGCACTCAAAGCGATTTTATTTAATTATATGTTGTATTTATGCAGAAAAACACTTATGAGATAATACAATAGTCCAAAGCCCACAGCACCCGAAGCCAAGGCCTGAGTAGCTGCACCCGCAACTTTTCTGTCTCCTGGAATAATCACCGAATCGTCATCTTCCGGTCGATTACAGTCGATGCACTTGCCATTGATAACTACTTTGCCCGGTGTGGCTGTCAAAGGAATAGAGATTAGAGCAACTGTCTCACATTTCCAGAAATCTATTCAATTACCGCAAACCATAGCCAAAAGGCAGCCCAACAGCAGCAAATGCAATACAATCGAGTTCATATTCACAGCACACTGATCCAAACAATCTGAATACCAGACGTCAATAGCATGCACTTTTATATAGAACAGGTTTCGGATTCAGATTGAGCGCAACAATCACATCGTCGAGAGACTCTAGTGTTTCGGAATTTCCCAGCTTATTGAACAAAAGCTAATCTCTGCTCATCAGTTCAGTAAACAAAAGTGATGTCAGAAATAGCTCGCATGCTATTTGGCAAAGAAAATAATATACAAATTTTTATAAAAAGAATTTTCAATTTTAAAATAAAAATTTTTAAAATATTTAGAACTTAGAAAATATATATAGATAATGTATCTAAAATAATATAATAAAAATAATAATTATTATTAATAAATAATCGAATATAATTAATATATTTATATAGTCAAAAAAATAAAATAAATAATAAAAAATATTTATTTATAGACGGCAAATTAATTTAAAATATTCAGATGGTTTAATCAAAACAAATATGTTAAAGAATCGATCAGAATAAAAAACAAAATGAACTTCAAAAAAATTGTTTTTAATTTATATAGAGTATAGCTAAGTCATTTGTAAAATATATAACTCTGTCTACTAAAGCATCTAGTATAAGAATTTTATAGATTATTGAAAGTTTATAAAAACAATTTGAGATTGCGTTCTTTATTTACAATACATTGCTTGAAACTCAAATATTTTCAAAATCAAGAAAAAGTGGATATATTTTTGAAAATTTCCCACAAATTTCAAAGTCTTAATAGTTCTTGATATAGTTTTTAAAAAGTTGGTATATAGTTTCTTAAATTATATATTAAAACTTTAGTTTGTATAAAGTTTTAATATAGATTCTATATAAATTTTCTATGGTGTTTATACAGCTTTTATATAGCTTTAATATATTGTTCATATATTTCTAACGTGATCTTAATCATCTTGATCGTCAGGCAACATTTATGGCTCGAGAATAAAAAATCAGCAGTGTTTTTTCATTTAGCTATAAGAATTTATTAAACATTTTGTTTTGATTTTTTGTGATTTTGTTGTGGTTCTTGTTGTTGTACTTATAATAAATGCATATTAAATGGAAAACATTTTAAACTAGAGTATTTGGCTATTGCATTTTTGTGGCTGTGGCTGCTCCAGGGATTGGTATCTGGTTCTAGGAACGCACATTGCACACCTTGCAGTCGCCGTTGATGATGACATTGCCAGGACTGAGTGGATTAGCTAAATGTGCAAAAGAATCAATTAGCCTGCAGTTGGTGCTCTAGAGAAGCGCAGACTTACCGCTAGCCAGCGCCAGGAGACCGAGCAGAAATGCGAGCGACAGGAATTTCATGTTGATTGATTTTGGTTTTGTTGTTTTGTTTGATTGCTTGAAAGACTCAAGAAGACTGATGCCTTACAACTTGGCCAGCTATGCTTTTATAGCTAAACTGCAACCAGACTCTGAGCTAAATGCGTCTGACCGTTATCAACCGACTGGGGGATACGAACTTGGAATTGGAATTGCCCGGTGCCAGAGGCGAGCGTCAAGTCAAGTTTGAAAAATTTCCCAATTGCGTTGCGGCAATGCGAATCTAGTTGGATTTTTATTATATGGAATATGCACTGTAGAGAATTACAAGCTGTCTGTGAGAGTGGGAGAGAGAGAGAGAGAGAGAGAGAGAGAGAGAGAGAGGGCAGTATCTATAAACTGGGTTTAATAGTGCTATCATAAAAGTTGCCAAAGGCATGTAAGTTATTGGATAGAGGGCATACTCGTAACATGAGCATATATATATATATATATATATATATATATATATATATATGTGTATATATTCCTGAACAATTATTGGCTAGCTCGAGGTTCTCCTGGAGAAATATGAAACTAAATTAAAAAACTCGCACCTCAAACCAATAAAATAATTATTCTAGTTATATATTTCTGCATTACTGCACATGGTCTTTTGCAGGGTATTTCACAGTCTATCAAACTTTTTTTTCACATTCTAACTTGTTTTATTTGTCATATTTGTTTGCATTTACGATCGAATTTCCATTTCAATTGCGACGTCTGAAGCCTGGCGCCCCCCGTGCTATATGTTAATTAACTTAATTCTTAATACATTTCCGACTAATTGTTAAAACGTGTTTTAATGTTGTTGTTGTTTAATGTTATTCTTGTTGTTATCGTTGTTGACTTCACGCTGCATTTGATAAAAGAATTACGCACGTAACTTGGAATTCCGAACTAGTTGAAGCAAACATAATTCCCAAGAACTATGCAAAGCAAATGCAGTTTTATAAATATTAATTATTACAGATAAATAATTTTAAAGGCCAGTTTAAGTTAAAGATATGACGTTCTTCGGTTGCATATAAATTAAATAATTATTGCAATAGTATGATAGGAAGGAAAATATATGCACATATAGAGCTTTATACGAATCAGTCTTCGTTCGACGTATACTTAATATTTCAAATATAACTGTACTGCATAAATGGAAATGATATATTTATACAAAACAAGCTAGTTGTCATTTTTATAGTCTCATAGATGACACACAGATGGCCAACAAGGCTGATAGCATTGTTTATACGCTTTATAAGGCCGCCGCAACCTTCCGTTTGCTGTACACAATTGCATAACTAAATGATACCCTTTACTCTTCACTACAGGGTATAGTAAGCAGTTGAAATGCATATCTTGCACATTTGGTATTACAATATATCAACTATCAAGTATTTCTCATATTATATAAATTTCCAGTATATTTGCACAATATTCTTGAAGTGTAAAGGTAGGGTATTCTCTAGCTGAGCACAACACATTTCGTTCATATTTCCTTACTATACTGTAAATATAGAAACAGGGTATTCTCTAGCCGCACACTATTTATTTTCCAGTGTATTAATTTCCAAAATATTATTGAAATATTAAGATAGGGTATTCTATAGTCGAGCAACAACGCCTCATGCCGTCTAAGTTGTTTTAATGCGATCTATTTATTCAACATGTGCAAAACATATTTTCATATATATATATTTTCTTTTTACACTTTGATTACATTCCATCAATATAGAGGGGGGGTCAATAGTTCAAGCTCTTTGCAAATCAGCTCAGGGTCAAATAGTCAAGATCAAATATTGACAATTTTTATATTGACAGAACTTCAGCCAAGCTGAGATATTTGACACCTAAATTACCTAGACAGTAAATATAATATAAATTTTCTTTTAAATTTCGTTTTTTTTTGTAAGTTGATTTATTTTATCATTATTTAAATGCTAAGTTTAATTTGAAACGCAGTGTGTACATAAATATGGTGCCAACGGATTGAGGTAAGGCTAGGAAGCTGAACGGGATTCGTTCGGTTCGATTCGTCTATTTGCCGCCGTGGACATTGCAGTATTTGCAGTCGCCGTTGATGACCACATTGCCAGGATCGGGTGACAGGGGAACGGCTAAGGAGAGAGAGCGAGAGAGAGCAGAGCGAGATTTGGGGTTAATATATGTATTAATTTTAATCCGTTTTGGGCGTCGAACACTTACCACTAGCCAGAGCCAAGAGGCCGAGCACGAAAACGGTGACAACGGAGAAGAATTTCATATTGTTGCTGATTGTTGATTGTTCCACAAACGATTGAGTTGAACTGATGCAGTTGTTCGTCCAGGCTCGAACTTATATGGGAGCTCCAACAGTTACCTACAACGGGGAAATTCACAAATTGTCAGCGCAAATCAAATTGGGATTATCAACAAATCGAATGCATTCACTTAGACGCACTCTGTGTGTGTGTCTGTCAATGGCGAGCACTTGATAAGCCGCACAAGGGAAATTCCCCGCTTTGGGTTGGAGCTTATGTTCTGTTTATACCCCGTTGGGACACAGATATGTTTAAAAATATATTAAAATCAAAATAGACATGTTGTTAAAAATAAAAATCTAAAATTGAGTAACTGGGTTATTAAGTTGAAATTTGTGAATCAATCTTCTGTGCACTTTTTGTGAGCTCGAAAATAGCTGAAGTCTTCTGAGTTGTATTCATAGAGTATGTGAGTATGTGAAGCTCTGCCGATTTTAACTCTTTAAGTTTGTCCCACCATTTTCCCATTCTCTGTGTCTCTTTTCCTCCATCCTTACCCAATTCTACCGCTCTTCAAATTTATGAAAATCGCATAGAAAGGCTATAGAGAGTTTATTTATTATGCAGACTTACGCTCTCACTCTCTCCCTCTCTCTCTCTCTCTCTCTCTCTCTCTTTCTCACTTTCTTTAATTCTTGCTCTCCAAGTAAGTGCTTGTGCAAATCGTCTCTTACAGGGTATTTTCCAGTCGAGAACTAACAATTTACTAATTTCTCAATAAACTTAGTGGGAAATCGTATAAGTGGCTTTCTGAGAAGCATATACTTATTAGCATATATGTATGTATTCGCCAATGGATACTACGCATTCGCAGTGCAATCTTCCGTACAAAGTTGAAACGTGTTCTAAGTTCAGCTTAGCTTATACGCCGTCAAGGTATTGATAATGTGGGCAATTCCATACAATAAATCTGTATACTATATACATCAAATACACTGAATATAATATATACAGCATTGGTGTATTCAGCTTGAGGGTAATCTATCGATTGTTCCAGCCCAATCTCAGTTTCAATCGCGCACGATTCTTGGCAGACGCCTCTCGTCGCCAGTATAAAAGATTCATTCCAGCGAGCACAGCGTCAGGTTGAAGCTAACGAAATGAGGTGTTTAATGCTGCTAACGTTTTTGATCTTGGCCATGCTGGCCCTCAGCGCTAGAGGTAAGTCCGATCTTTCAGCTCTAAGCCACGACTCACAACGAATCAAACTCTTTCAGCTGGCAAGGTGACCATCAAGGGCGAATGCGTGGATTGCAATAGACCCGATGCGGCTACGACAACAACACGTCGGCCGAGCACCGCACATGGCGGACATGGACGCACGACCACACCGAGGCCCAAGCCGAAGAGCCACAAGACATCGTCGGAAAGTGACGAAGATTTGAGCCTGGGCGACTGGAGTCTGAGCCAGGGCGCACACGGGGCACAGCACATCTCGGGTGGATCACGCCACAAGCGGCAGCGTCAGGTGATAATAACGGATCCGGCCTTCGGTAACGGCGGCTGGTCAGGTGGTCGTGTGACCACACTCGATTCCCGTGGACGTCCCGGCGTTCTGGTGCGCAACGATGACTGCGTTGGCTGCAACATAAACGGCTAAGGGGTACTCCCCCCTCACGGAGCGGGCGGAAGCGGGCGTTTTTAACCTGTGCCAATAAACGAACTACAGTGTTCCCCTGTTCCCCGTATGGCCACATTGTGATTTTTATTGTTGTTAACCTTGCTTTGTAAACCGGTTAGAGCTCATGGAATTTCCACTGGCATCGCGCTTTTTCCGCTGAATTCCCATTGTTATCAAAAGCCGAGCAGCGTATATAAAGCTCTGCTCGGGCCAAGCGGCAGCAACAGATGCCAATTGAATTCACATTTGCAATGAAGTTATTTTTGATCTGTGCTCTGTTTGCCGCAGTCTTGGCATTGGCGGGTAAGCATTCCCGCATCTATGTGCCCACAGCTCCTTAACACGATCCCGATCTTTCGCTCTCTCTCTCTCTCTCGCACTCTGTCTCCGCCTGCCCAGCCGGCAATGTGGTCATCAATGGCGCCTGCCGGGACTGCTCGCCGCCAGATGCTGAGACGCTGGTTGTGGGCGACAAGGTGTACAAGGGTCGGCCGGGACATGGCACCGTCTATATCAATGGACAGGACGACGATTCGAACGCTGTGCGCCCCCAGGCTGGCGGCGGTGGCGCACCCTTTGTGGTGCCCGAGGGCTACAGCGGTCGTGTGCCCGGCGGCTCCTTTGTGCACAATGCCGATTGCGCCGGCTGCGACATTACGGGCTGAACCAGTTGCTCCAAATCTGTGTATTTGCTAGGACTGAAATAAATGTGTTGTGCAGCGTCGAACGTAAAGTCAATTACCAAGTGTTGTGAGGGGTACGGCTGGGTGTGGCAGGGGTTGGGAGGCTTAAAAACAACTACTCGACCAGCAGGAACAGGTCTAATAAAAATAGCTACAGCAGCAGTTGAAGTAGTTATGAGGCTGTCGTAGACGAGGCTGAGAGCAGCTAGGTTTGTCTGATACCCTGTAAAAAAATGTTCTTCGCCTTAAAACTTTGCATTTGCATACCACTATATCATATAGCTGCCATAGAAACGATCAGTCCAAATGTAGATGCTCGTTTATCAAGATATCTTATCCAAACACGGCAATTATAAGTTGTACTATGCCCTCCACTTGTATGGACAACTTATCAAGATCGGACTACTATATGATTGATTGATCGATCGAAAGCTAGGTTCTTATATACGAACGGTCGGTCGAATTGATTTGTTGTGGGGCACTCATTTATCTTGATCGTATTCGCCAATTGAAACTTACTTTCTCACTTTGATAAGCCAAGAACTGTTTAGAGGGTAGCTCCCAGTCACACAATATGCACAATAATTTATTAAAAGCAAATAATATGGATTTTGCCCATAATTGATGTAACTTAAGATGTAACACAAAACCTGAGTTGACTTTAAATGGTGGGGCTTTGTTGTTGGGGCAAGCCCCAAATCCAGTTTCAGTCGCATTTCCCAGCGTCATTCCCAGCTGGCCTTTGCCATTGTTTGCGATACGAGAATCATTTTAAACATATTCTTGGGGGTTTAATTTTTACTATAATGATACGCCAGCTGCTGCCTGGCTATAAAAGCTGTCGACATCTTTGCGAACTTGTGCAGTCTTCAAGTATTCAAGTAATCAGCATGAAGTGGTTCTCGTTGTGCATTTTGCTTTTGGCATTTCTGGTTCTGATTGCAGCGGCGCCCGCCGGTAAGACCACTTGATAAAGACGCCTCTTTAGTTAGCATATTATTAATATGTGTGTATATATATGTTTGCTTTCGTGCAGGTCAGATACGCGTACGCACCTCCTCGACCAGACACGTGCGTGTGCGCAACGGCAACATCAAGTGGAACGGCGATTGCCACAATTGCGATATACGCACCACCAAAGACACGGCACAGGTGACCAGCACCAGAAATCGGCAATGGACTAAGAAATTCTAAAAGAAAAACCATGTTTAAGTAGTTATAAATATGTAGCTATAATATTTATATTAAAAAGTTAATTAAAAAGTAAGCTTGTCATATAAAGAATATTCAAATAAGTCTAGGAATACCTGTAGCAAGCCGAACATTTAATACCCTTGCATACTCTAGCCTTTTGCAGTTATGCGAGACAAGTGCAGCTCGTAAATGTTGAGTTTGTTGAAAATATCTTTGAAAATAGAATACTTTGCCATATGAGAGCCTACTTTTCGACCAACCTTTTCTGAGAGACTAGATCGCATAGAAACAGATAAACGGACAGACAGACAGTACGACGGATGGGAAGAAGGATGGACGGACGGACGGACAGTAAGACGGATGGGCAGAAGAAAGGACGGATAGATGGACAGACAGACGGACAGTAGGACGAATGGGCAGAGGGATGGACGGATAGATGGACGGACAGACGGACAAATATACGGGCGGACGGGCAGAAGGAAGGACGGATAGATGGACGGACAGACGGACAGAAATACGGACGAACAGACGGACATGCGAACGGGCGGCCAGAAACACGGATAGACAACAGACGGACATGACTATATCAAATCGGCCGTTGATCTGGAATATATATTACACTATCCGATCAGAGTTGTCAGCTTGTCTATGCGTTACACAATTCAGGAGAAAACTGGAATACCCTCAGCAAGGGCATAGAATATTTGAAGCTAGTCGTCAATCAGTTCCAGCTGCTTGCCACGCGATGGGGCAGCCTTGAGCTGCTTGGCTTAAAAATAAAAAAAATGGCTTCGACTTCGAGTTGGCTGTGGCTGCGGCTCGTTTACGGTGGCGCAACCCTTTGCTGCCGGCCATTACACGTGTTTCTTGGCTACAAATTTTTATGCCGCCTTTGTCGCTGTCCTTTGCCATAAAACCAGTCATTTCCTTGAGCAGCCTGTTTATTTATTTATTATTTTGCTTCAGTTTTCTTCTTATTTTTGTTCGTGTGTGTGTGTCCGGATTCGACATTCACGTTCTTCGTTTTTATTGCCCAAGCACGGAAGGGCCAACCGCTGTGCGCCTGTAAATGACTCCCCGGGCACCTTTATATTGACTCGTAAAATTGCGACATTTAGAGTCGCAACCCCCTCACACACTCTGCCACACCCTCAGACCAAGCAACCACCCGCACTTCCGGTCGTTTGTCTTTTGTGTTGCCTGCTTTTCGGCGCCGCGACGACTTGCTTAGCGCTATTATTATTATTATTATTTTTTGTCCTCTTCTTATTATAAATTTGATTTTTATTTGCCTCACAGTTGTTGGCCGACAACGATTTTTATAGTCGAGTGTTTTGCCCAAAGCTCCTGGATTACTTTTCTTGCGGAGGGTTGCTTAATTATGAGGTGCACCGAGTTGAAGGCAGAGCTGCCCACAAGCAACAGGGTATGCACTAGCCGGCTAAGACTTCGCGGGATTTTCTTCACTTTTTCGTAGCAAATACGCTTTTTATTTAACAGGGTATTAAATCGTCGAATACCCCAATTAAATTGTTTTCTGCTGCCGCTTTGGTTGCCGTCAGCGACGGAAATTGACTTTGAAAATGCTTCAACGTTGCTTTTGCTTCAGGATGCGAAGGCCTTTCGCCCCACTCCGCGCAAGAAGGGACTCGAATGGAGGCATTAAGATTGTGGGAAGGGGCCACGCCCACAGAGGGCAAGCACTTAACCGTTAGCTGTTGCTATCAGCTTTAACTTTCGGTCCGATTTACACTTGACATTGTACCTATAGCCCATAGCTTTGCTTTTGTTTGGCATCCAGCTGAAACTTTATTCATTTCAAAATGTACAAGTCAAGGGGCCAGGGATGGGATTGGTGTTGGGCTGTAGGCGTGGCCGAAATGATTTATTGGATTTTTGAAGAGCAATCGAGCGCACAGCTTCAATGTTAAGCGTAAACGCGTTCATAATTAATTTCAGTCTATTTTTTTTTGTTTTTTTCAGACATTGCGCATACGCAACGTTGCACGGACGCAAAGTGCGAGCCTTGCCGAATGTAAGTATATATATTGGTATCTATGTATATATGATATATCTACTATTTTTAACATCTCCTTTATTGCTGTCATTTGAATCTTATTATTTCGGCTCTGCGCTCTCTTTATTTCCATTCGTTTGTCTGGCTGCCAGCGAAAGTGACCCGCAATTTATTTAACGTTTTTATTATTTTATTTCTGCCCCCCTTTAAATGAATTTCAACCCCTTTCAGCGGAGTGGTTGTTGTTGTTGTTGTTGCGCATTTAAGTGGCATTTTCTGTTGCGCAACGCACAGGATGCGAGAATGCCAGCCGAGCGTATGATATAAATTAATGAATAATTGAGAGCATTTTATGCGCTGCTGTCAGGAAATGTTTATATTGAAGTTAAAGGAAATGTTCAAGCTGTTGAAACTCAGCAGCACTTTAATATTTACAAATGATATTAATTTTCATTTGATGAAAACAATTCGTAAATTTTACTAGTCAATGCTTTAAGTTAAATATATAAAATGGCATGAGTTGCGTTATAAATACAAAAAAATGTAAAATAAAAATAAAAAGTTGTTATTCAAATTGTGAGCACACAATTATTTTTGCCTTTGGCATTTGCATTGTGCACTTGTAATTATTTTGTTGCATACTTTTTGGAGCAATTTGTCGCGCTGTTTTATTTCGCTTATTTATTGTCTGATTTATCAAAATGTTAATTTTCACATTTTATTTTGATATTATTTATGAATCAATATATATATTTATTAAAGGCATATTTACAGCACATTTGCCGTCTATACAGTCAGATAATTTTTTATTAATCATGCATGAATGCATTTTCTGAATAGAGTTCAACATATGAGCTCACAATAAACGAACGCATTTAGAATGCACGCTAATATTAATTGAATTATAATAATTAATGTTATTTATATTTACGCTAGAAGAGAACAATGAATTTTGTATATTAAAAAAGTAGACATTTTGAATACTTAAATTAAAATATATACATAAATTGGACAATTTGTATAATTAAAAAATGGAATCATCGACCTTTTAGGGGAGTATTTATATTGTGTGCTGTCCTTTCATGAGCTTTCACGAGCTTTCTCCAAGTAAAAGATATTTCCAGAGCTTAGTTTTCAGCAACAACTATAAAGTAGTATACATTGAGCTTTAAGCCAAATGTGGTGTTGTCTTGAAGCTTTAATGTGCTTTCAAAGCGTCTTAAGATAAGATAATTGGCCAAAACTTCTTCTACATTTACTGTGAAAGAGCTTTAAGATAAATGTGCTCTAAGCAATTTATTAACCTAAATGCTTTCATGAGCTTTAATCGTGTCTCAACTGAAGAGACGTTGCCAGAAGCTACTATTTACCGATAACTCTAGAATGCTATGCATTGAGCTTTAAGTCAAATTGAGCGTAAGCAATTAACTAAGTTAAAAGTATTAATGTGCTTTCGAAACTGCTTTACGTGGAGCAAGTTGGCAAAGTCTACTTTGAGTAACTCTTTTAAAATGCTATTCAATGAGCTTTAAGCTTAACTGAGCGCCATCAATTAGCTTATCTGTAAGCTTTGATGTGCTTTCAAAGCTTCTTAAAGTGGCAAATAAAGTCCGATGCTGCTTATAATTAATTACTTTAAAATAATTCACTGAGCATTTAGCTAAATTGAGTGTAGACAATGAATATAGCTAAACAGGCTGCCGTGAGCTGTCAAAGCTCTTTGCAGCAGATATTTCACTTCTTTGCATTTCTTTATTGTCCTCATATTCAATTAAGTTCAGTGGGAGCGAAGTTCTTTGCCTGCAAAGCAGCTGCAAGAGGAGACAGAGAAAAAAGACTCAGTT